GTACCGTTTACCCTTTACCCTTAACGTAACTAAGTAAGTAATACTATATTAGTCTACTAGTAGTAAGACTATATATATATATATATATATATATATATATATATATATATACATGGTCCAAGAAGCGTAACGACCTTAAAGTTTCCCTGAACCCGTCCCAAGCCTGGGTAAAGGATGTGGGTTGTGTTAGGTAGGCAGCCAACATAAAGCTTTGTCAAAACTTTTCATGTATCCTAAATCTACATTATCTGCTTATGCTAGGGTGTTCTCCATAAGCGATGCCCTGTACTGTAACTCGGGTACAGTAAGAAATGCGAAAGAGTTAGCTAGGGCGTCCCCAGAAGCGACGCATAGCAGCGCCACCCTATTGTGGTGAAAAATATGTAATTCTTGCAACATTTTGGACGAGCACGGGTAAAGAAGCTAGTCCAAGAAAATAGGATTCATCTAGAGACAGGAAATGTAAGAACACTTAGGGGCCATTTGGGAACCTGGAAATCAATTACATGAAAATAGATTCCACGTAAATATAACATTTCCATTGTTTGGGTACACTATAATGGTAAGGAAATGGAAAATGATTACCTGAAATTTCCCCAAAAAAAAGGAAATCTATTACACGCGGTGCAAGGTGAAAAATCAATTACGCACTTGACGGGTAATCTTGAGAAATATTTCCCGCATGCCTCTCCCTCTAAAACTTTCCTCTGCCTTCTCTCTTTAAAAACGCAGAAGGCTACCCCTCTCTCTTGCAACTCTCTCTCTGGAAAGAAAGAAGCTCCCCATTTGTTTAAAAACACAAAAGCCTACCCCTCTCTTGCCACTCTCTCTCTGGAAAAAAAGAAGCTTCCCACTTGCTCTGCAACCAGGTAACATTTCATCTGCCTTCACTTTCTTAGCATTGTAGAAGTCAATTGATTCACATTATTATGAAACCATTGGAATTTTTTTTTTTCACTATGTATCTCCAAGAAAACCAACCCTATATTGGATCTACCATTTTTGGAGCTTTACTGGGTAGGGTTTTTTTTGGTAAACTGTAAGGTTTTTCAAACTTCAAATTGCATCTATTGAGTTAATTTTTGTTGCTTGTGTATCTATCATGCAATATGCTATGAAACAGGGTGGGGTTTCCCTCATACGAACCCTTTGGTTTTATTCTTGTGATTTTCTTAGTTTTTCCCTCTAGATTTCTTAGTTTTCCCTCTAGATGGTGCTGATTTTTTTTTTGACAGAGTCGAACTTTTTGTTTTAATTGAGAGACCTTCTACTCAGTGTAAATCATTATATTTAATTATATAAAACACTATTAGCTATTTAATTTACACTTTTACAGCATATAATAGCTATTTAATTTACACTTTTACAGCATATAGTATTTTTTATATGCTAGATCATTTGATTAGTTAAAGAAAAACAGAAACGCCAAAACTTTGATTTCTTCAGTTATGCAGTTCGGGTTTATTTTTGGAGAACTTCAAATACTTGGGATTTTGAGTTTCTTGAAGGCATAGCGGTGAGGCTCCTTCCTCGTTGAAGCAATAACCTCTGGTTAATAAGATGACAACTCCCTTGTTCACATAACTCAGTTTTCTCTATCTTTTTTCTATTTTTAATTACCATGCTTATCTATTTTCTTTCAATTTCTTTTATTTTCAGCACTCTCTATTCTCTTTTATGTATTTTAGATAACCATGCTTATTGGTTTTCTTTCATCTTCTTTTATTTTCAGCTTATTGTATTTTAGGTGGTTAACTAAACACTTATAAAATTTTGTCATAACTTCATCTTTTGTTTTCTCTTAAGTCGACAACTTATATTCTGAAGCAATGTTCATTCGGTAATTACTCAAATTTGTATATTCTATCTATATTTTATAGTTTTTTGCATTTGTCTAAATTTTCATAGGCCACCATGGATGCAATATAGGCTTTGATAGAGAAGAAACAATAATTTATTTAAGATGAAAGACTGAATTCAGTAGATGAAAGAATTCTGTATAGCCTCTCTTTCTTGTTATTTCCCAACAAAATCCTGAATTCAGTAAATGAAAAAAATTCATTTAGTAAGTCATATATGATCAATCTCATAATTTACGTTGTGGTATGGCATGACACGTGCATCAGGATATGGAGGCATTATGAATTATTCAATCACATTTGAAATACTCACAGTTTGTTGTGATGGCTTTGAGATGTATATTTGGACATTGAATTTGTAAATGCATACTTCGTCAATGATCATGATGAGGTAAGGGCAAGTATGAAGCACTTTTGGTTTAACTATATGTTAGGTGTCAAAGATTTATTCGATTGTGGTATTTTGGTACATTATAGAATATCAGCTGCCCAAGATTGAGTACATAACCACAACATATTCTCACTAACATTGTGCCCTGCAGCGGTCCTCAACTTTCTCATGGTGAGTAATCAACTTCAAGCATGAAGTAAAGATGAAAATAGCCGGATCACTTGTTGCAGTTGGTAGTACTCTAGCTATATTAGGTACTATTCTAGGGACCTATGTGTATAAATCTTCTGCACCAAAGCGTAATTCAATTGGTACAAAGTACCATAAAACGATAATTAACTCCACTGACGTGGACTGTCGAAACCATACTAGAATGAGCAAAAGAGCTTACTTTATCTTGAGGAATATTCTTTTAGAGAGAGGAAATATCACTGATACAATGGGGGTTTCATTTGATGAATAACTTGTAATGTTCCTACACATTCTAAGCCACAACCTGAAGAACCGAAAGATTGGTCATGAGTTTGGTCACTCAGGAGAATTGTAAGTCGACACTTTAACGGAGTGTTGAATGCAGTTATAGGACTTCACAGAGAATTCTTCAAACCACCAGAGTCGAATTTACCATCAAGAATCACTCGTAAGAAGGGGACGTTGTTTCCTTATTTTAAGGTAATGCATATTGTTATACTTATTGTTTTTTACTTGATTAATGTGGGTATTCAGCAATATTTTAATTGCTTCTCAATAATAGGATTGTGTTGGAGCCATTGATGGCACTCATATCCTGGCAACTGTTCGGACTAGTCTCCAAAAAAAATTTCGTAATAGAAAGGGTTTTACATCACAAAA